CAGCAGGAAATTATATAATACAGGCAAAACTGTCATTACAGGTAGATCATTGCTAAACCTTTTTTCACTCTTGTGGTAAAGCAATGGGCAACTTCAGTGTGTGTGTGTGTGTGTGTGTGTGTGTCTTGTGTTTACTACAAACAGAATAAGAGCACCCACTAAAAATGAGATACATGTAAGCACATGGGTACATGCATACAGTCAGTATTATTTATACCTTGTAGCTGAAAGAGACAAATAAATGTTTTCAGAACAGAGGTGACGCACTGAAACAGGCACACATCACCTGGTGACGTGCACACATCCACAAGCAGCGCAGTTCCATTAAAGAGCTAAGTACTGCATCAAGAGTCCACTAATCCAGGTGACAAGGTTGCGTGCTGAGGGGGCAGTTATTTGTTGTGCATTTCTGGGGGTCTGTCAGCAGTCAAAAGCATCTTTCAGAATAAAAAAAAAAAAAAAAAAGGTTCCAGGATCAGCTATGCTAAGAATGACTGAATCACTTGATCCTCAAAACAAAAGCAAACAATGAGTTGCCCACTAGACAGGCCACTTTGTCCAGAACGGAATCAAGCATTTTTGGTAGGGCGCCAGTTCACACCTATTTTGGCAAGTAAAAAAAAAAAAAAAAAAAAAAAAAAAAGGGCCCACAAAATTTTACAAGAGCAAGTAGCTCACCTTGTTGGCAGATAAAGGCCGGTGCTGAAGCTCCCAAAGACTTGAACCTGGAGAGAGGGGACACTGTTAGGTTTCTGTTTATGGACTGGGTAAACTGCATTCTGAGCAAAACCTCCTACAGCTGAATATTCTAGCTCTTTCTGACCGACTACAACATGGACTGGACTGATCACAACCTGGGACACCAAACAAGCATCAAGATAGTGTTCTATAATTTTCCCACACTACGTTTCACTGTTACAAAAACCTGTTCTCCAAGTTGGACAGATATTATTATTCGACAGCTCAACACAGTGATTCAAAGACAAGTCTAAACTAAAAGTACAGGTGTGGTACAGACACAGCTAACCAGGTGAAAAAGAAAAGTGCGTGTAGCTTTAAGCAATCTAAATCCATTTTAAATGCAATTTGAGTGAGGGATAAAAGACAAGGGTAGCCTGAATGAAACGAGCAGATATTATTTGTTTTGTGTGAAAATCACAAGTGTATGATGTATGAACAGCTCTTTTAGCCACGGACCTCTTAACTCTGGGTCTACTGAAGGGGCTAAAATACCTTCAACCTCCCACTGAACACACATAAACCTAATTTTCAATCCTAGCTTTACAATCTTAAACTTCATATGGGTAAGATGTCACATCAGCCAGTAATGTAAACTGGTTTACAGCTCAGCTAAGCTGATTGCAGAGCCATGTTTATGAATGAATGGTGGCGAGTCGCGAAGGATTCTGTGAAGGGTGAGGTAACTATAGGTGGTCATGAAGGTGAGCTTTGATTTATCTCATCCTGGTGCACTCCTGTCAAACGTTCACTTGTGGTATAAGTTTTATCAGTCACTGGTAGGTTTTAAGAGATTAAGAAACATTGTAAACCCCAACCTGAAATACAGTGGAGACACTTTTATGAACATTTTTTGACACAGCTGCTGACCGACCTAGACAAGCTTCCATGATATATACCTAGCAGGATCACTGTTTTGGGCAGCAACAGACTATGAAGGCACTCAACACTTAAACAAGCCTCACACTGAGTGGAGCTGTCCCTGCTCACTCCACAGTGGAAAAGGAATAAAGCTAGCCAGTATTGGGACAGTGCACACTTTGAGCACACGGTTCTATCAACAGGATCAAAGTCAGTGGGGACAAGGACACCAGAGCTGCTGCTGATTTACATAAACCAAACAGAACAGTGTGCAGCAGGGAGATTATGAAAGGCTGAAGCTTATAGCCATTAGCTTGATATCACATACAGTCCTGATCCTATAGTAACTGCTGGGGATGGTGTGCGTACCTCAGCACTGGGCCACAGGTCATGGATGACTCCCTTGATCCTGTCCACCACCTCCAGTCTCATCTTCTCTTCCTCTGGCCGTGGGGAGATGTAGTCATAGAAGTCATTAATCTCTTCATGTAGTCTGCACAGCACACAGAACACAGCATTGTGAGAGAAGTGGAAGGATGTGGACATGAGAGAAAAAAAAATAAAAATAAAAATAAAAACCGGCCCAGGGAGAATATACAAGTTCACAGTCACAGAGCAGCTTTACCCTAAGACTAGTACATGTATGTTTAAACTTACATATTTCCACACAAGTTGGGAGTTGTTTAAATGGCTCTATGAAAAGAAACTCGAGAAGAGCAACTTGAGGCTTAACTGTTTTGTAAAAGGACACCATGACAGTGGTTTGTTAAGTAGGAAAATAGATGTCTTCTACAGTATCTGCCCTTCCTTTACACCCCTCCAAGCC